TCTGCTTTGCCATCATTCCCTTCAAACATGTGAGCCATCTGATCATATCCTTCCAAGAAATTCCTTTCAGACTTAAGATAACTGAAGTCGGTTTCTGTTCCTTGCAACCAGAGAATCCTAAATAATGCCAGTTCACTCTTTAGTCTCTCTATGATCCTTTCCTTCCTATTTCCAGGAGGGACTGTTACAAAGACACTCCCTCATTTTCAAACTCCGGATGGTTGTCTGACCTCCTCTTATACTGCTAAAACCATGTTCATGTTTTCTGAAAGACAAGAACTCTTCTGCCCTTCCACTAAGCAAACCATCCGTAAAGGGGTTGCTCTTGTCCACCTCAAGCAATTTTCTTGATGACTTACAAGAGAAACAGAAAGACTTCTGTATGCTTGTCAGGATCAGTGGCCTGAGGTTTCTGCTGTTGTCCCTCACCCAGCTGGTTTTCCTGCAAAACTGGTCCATGTCATTCCAATCTTGAGATTGCCTTTGCCTTCAATGCTTCCTCTGTGCCTATCCCACTTATCGCTTTCTTGCCCCAGCATTTGGGATGAACTATGCAAATATACATACCATGCAAGAGACAATTCTCTCTTGGCCTCCAATTTCCATGCTCAGTCTCCTTCCCAGGTCCTTCCTGATCTGGCTGTGGGCCCCCACTGAAATCACTCTCTTGAGCCACATCTCTCCTGACTTGTGGTCAGAGGGCAACCCCCAGGGAACCAATTCTCTCTAACAAGCATATAGAAGTCTTTCTATTTCTCTTGAAAGTCACCAAGAAAATTACTTGCGGTGGATGAGAGCAACCCCTTTATGGATGGTTTGCTTAGTAGAAGGGCAGAAGAGTTCGTTGTCTTTCGGAAAATACGGTTGAGAACCTAAGCTATTCAAGGCACTTGAGAGACTACAGAGACACTTGAAAGACTCGCTTTTCCCCTACCTGATGGTAGAAGAGAGATGTGGTGAGAATTACTACTAACTGCCCTATTATGGCAGGGACTTGTCACTATGTATATGTGCTTGACAATATGCTAGATACCTAAAATTATCTTATTTATGCTTATGACAGCCAGGGGGGCTGGGGATTATTGCCATTCTGTTCTGTAGATGAGGATATAGCCTCAGAAGGTTTAATTTAAATAAATAGCCTTAAGACATCTGACTAGGATGTGGAGTCTGGACTCAAATCTCCCTTGCTTTGATAAGTCAGAAAGACAAAGGAGGGCCTGGTGTCTTTGGTGTGTGTCTAGTGCAGCAGAGCTTGGTCTGTCCCATGCCTTTCACCTTGAATCTGTACTTGAATCACTAGAATTACTGTAACTGTGCCTTCCTTCACGTGGGGTCACTCTCCCCACCCACTCCCACAACACAATTGGTGAAAAGCCAGGGGATCCACCATTGCCACAGATGCTATTTTTAGGTCTGCTTCTGGAACTGACTGCTTTCCCCTGTACATACCTAATCTTATTGGAAATTTGTTGGGTGCAGACAGCTCTGAAGGACCAGGGGTGGAATGTGGGAAGACCTGAGTTTGGCCTGCCTTCTGTCTTTACTAGCAGTATAACCTTGAACAAACCATGCAATCTCTCTAAGACTTGATTTCTTCATTTATAACACGAGGGTTAAAATAGCTGTCTTACCCAAAGAGAAAAAGATATGTTAATTGTAAGACACTTTATGAATTTTTGTTAGGAAGCAATGATTCCTAATTTAGAAACAAGGAAAACCCAGATCGTGCAGTTAAGTCCACGGGAGAGCTGGATACCGTAGAGACCGGCTGATGCCAAGCCTTGTGTCTTGGTTCCTTACCCTTCCTTCTTCTTGATTCTGTAACTGGTGACTTGGCTTCTACACTAAAGATGAAAATATTAATATTATATATGAAAACATTTTCTATGATCTCAAAGTTTATTTTTTTGTCTCTGGTTTTGAAGGAAATTTAAACATTTTTGTGGGCCCTAAAATATTATGGGCACAAAGCACTGCACATGCTGTCTATTAGGGTAAGTCCCCTGGAATTCAGATCTTCTGCCTCCATAGCCCATTCTGTGTTCTTCTGTGCAATGCTGCCTCCCAGAGCCAGGGACGGAGCCCAGTCAGCTCCCAGCTACAGACTGAGAAGCAGTGTGGGAGAACTGGGCCTTGGAGACAAGAGGGCACAAGGGAGGTCCCTCTTCAGTAGGTGGGCTTTGCTGCCAGACTAACTGAAGCCCCTTTTTGCTAAGACAACTCTGGGAGGGGGCTGTCTCCTGTCTCTCTGATAGTGTCCCAGGGACAGCCCATGAGCCTCACTGTAGCCCTGATCCCTTCTGCCTACTCCCTGCCTTACTTCCAGCAGAAAATATTCTCCTGTTATCGAAGGCCCACTGTGTACTGGGGACTGTACATGGATTATATCATTGGATGATCACAACGGACTTATTTTTTAAATTAACATATAATGTATTATCAGTTGCAGAGGTCGAGGTCAGTGATTCATCAGTTGCATATAACACCCAGTGGCCATTACACCATGTGCCCTCTCCAGTGTCCATCACCCATTTACCCCATCCCCTCTCCTCCTTCCCCTCCAGCAGCCCTTGGTTTGTTTCCTAAGATTAAGAATCCCTTATGGTTTTTTTCCCCTCTCTGGTTTCATCTTGTTTCATTTTTTCCTCTCTTCCCCTATGATCCTCTGTCTTGTTTCTCAAATTCCTCATACCAGAGAGATCATATGATAATTGTCTTTCTCTGATTGACTCATTTTGCTTAGCATAATACCCTCTAGTTCCATCTACACGGTTGCAAATGTCAAGATTTCATGTTTTTGATGGCTGTGTAATATTCTATAATATATATATATATATATCTCACATCTTTTTTTTTTCAGATTTTATTTATTTATTTGATGGAGAGACATAGTGAGAAAGGAAACACAAACAGGGGGAGTGGGAGAAGGAGAAGCAGGCTTCCCGCTGAGCAGGGAGCTTGATGAGAAACTCGATCCCAGGACGCTGGAATCATGACCTGGGCCGAAGGCAGGGGACTGAGCCACCCAGGCACCCCTATACCACATCTTCTTTATCCATTCATCTGTCGATGGGCATCTGGGCTCTTTCCATAGTTTGGCTATTGTGGACATTACTGCTATAAACATTGGGTGCAGGTGTCCCTTCAGATCACTACATTTGTAGATTCCATTTATTTATTTGAGAGATTCACAGTGAGAGAGGGAACACAGCAGGTGGAGTGGGAGAGGGAGAAGCAGGCTTCCTGCAGAACAGGGAGCCCGATGTGCGCTGGATCCCAGGATGCTGGGATCATGACCTGAGCTGAAGGCAGATGCTTAATGACTGAGCCACCCAGGCATCCTGCTACATTTGTATCTTTGGGGTAAATACCCAGTAGTGCAATTACTGGGTCGTGGGGCAGCTCTATTTTCAACTTTTTGAGGAACCTCCATACTGTTTTCCAGAGTGGCTGCACCAGCTTGCATTCCCACATCACAACATTTTTATGAAAGAGGAAACTAACTCAGGGGAGCCAAGAGCTCGTGCTACTGGCACCACATGGCTGTGTACCTCCTACACTGGTTTGAGAAATCCAACCTAACTCCTTCTGCCCTCATGGAACCCCAGTGCTTTCTTTCTGGAAAGAATGGATCAGCCAGCCTAAGAACTAGGTGTGGATGGGATGGCCTTAGATCTCTGTCCACATTGCCTATCCCTAGTTGGAAACACCTTGGTTGATCTTTGAATATCCTGGCTAGGGACAGGAGGTTGATGAAGGACCCACGGCCCCATCAAGCAATCAGAAGACATAGGATCAGATTAGGTTCAGGTAGTTGGAAAGCAGTCCAGCGTCTCCCCCAGACTTGGGGAAACCAGCTGGATCCTCATGTTCCTTTTCTTTGAAGAAAATTTCTTTTCTTTGAAGGAAATTTAAACATTTGGCACTGCTCTGGACTTGTGAGAACTCTTTGTCATTGTGGCATGTGGGAAAAACAGGTTAGAGGGCTAAGAGATATGAGGCCTAGGCACTCCTAAGGTGTCTGTGTGTGAATTAGAAAAGGACATCTGCCCCTTCAGAATGGACTGTTTACAAAAAGACAACCCCAGGGGTCATTACCTATAAATTAAACAAACCAAAAAGTCTTTTCCTCTTGGCTGCCATACCCAGTGCCAGAATTGAGGCTTGGGCTGGGGACAGGAGTTGGATTACATTCCCACTCCCTGCTCAGTCACTCTACAGGATCCTAGGACCTGTCTGACCCACCTGTCTGACATCAGGTCCCTCTCACCCATTTCCCAAGATCCATATTACTGAATCTCCAGGTTTTTCAGATGACATCCATTATTTTTCCACCTGCTAAGAGAAGAGATCTAGACTGAACTAAGAACAACCTGTGTTTAATCTTTTCGGTATAAACCAAATGTGGGCCTTCCAGCTTCAGACCCTGCTTTAGGCCAATTCCTTAATTTCCATAGGCCTCAGTTTATTCATCTTGAAAATGGGAACAATAAAAACGACCTTGCAGGACTGATTCAATGAATAGACCGCCCGGAACACAATGCCGACACGTAGTGGGTCTGCAATACCACGTGGTCCATGGTCCTCAGGTGGGCGAGACCTGCAGGATGCTACAGCCGGCATTGTTCACGAAGTCCCCCACAACTCCTACAAGCTGGGAGGTGAGGGGCTCGGGCCGGTCCTCTCCCCCGGGGCTCCTGCGGACACCTCCGTGGCAGGCAGGGAGGCAAGGGCAGGGAGGGCGGAGCAGCTCTGCACTGCAGCCACCTGCGCCACGGCCTGGGCCGAGGACGCGCTCCCAGGCGCCCGGGTACGGCCGACTCCCGGAGGCGGAAGGCGGCGGGGTCGGCGGGGCAGCGGACGAAGCGGGCGAGCGGGCGAGCAAGGAGTTAAGCGGGGCTGGAGGCAGCGCGCCTGTCAGACGCGAGCATGTGCAGTTTGCACAGCATCCGTACTATGGGTGAGTGCCGCCGCCGCCGCCGCCGCCGCGGGGGGCTCGGCTCGGCCCGGGCAGCGGCGGCTGCAGCCCCCCGGACCCCGCACCGCCGCGGCGGGCGCCGACACACAATGCGGGACTAGGCGCGGCGCGGGAGGGCCGGCGGCGTGGGGGAGGCACGGCAGGCAACTCGACGCGGGGGGAGCCGGAGCTCCGGGCGTGGGGGCGGGGAGCAGGAGGCGCAGGAGAGCGCCCCGAGTCCCGGCGCGGGAGGAGGAGCGGGAGCCAGCCGGGGAGACGGCGCTCCTGGCCGCACCTGCACCCGGCGGGCGGTCGGCGCGGCCCTGCCCTTGCCCGCTGCCTCGGCTCCGCACCGGTAGGTGCCCCTGATGCCGGCGGAGAGGCCTTTTCGCCGCTCGTGGAGGTGGCCGCGCGGGGCGGGCAGCGCCGAGTGCGGGGGGCCCGGGCATGGTGCGGTGATGGGGAAGACCGGGCTGCCGGGCTGGGGGTGCTGCCCGATCCCTCTTCCTCTTTGCTTTCGGTTTCGAAGCGGCTGACCGGGCTGGAGCCGGAGCCGCAGATTAGAAGGTGCGCCCGGGCTTGGCTTCCCTGCGGGGGATGGGCGCACAAGGGGGCGTGTTGGGGAAGGGGTGCACGTTGGCAACTTTCCCCGCTTGAAACAAAGGGGTGTCGGGGAGGTGCGGCGGGGTGGGAAGGGGCCAGCGGGGATCTCCGGCCCAGAAGGTTGACATCCCCCACTTCCTCCGGGCGGAGAGCACCTCTGAGGCCGCCTTGGGAGCGCCGAGGGGGGGCGCCAGTTCCAGTGGGAGCTAGGGAACCAGGGCCTGGGAGTGAGGAACACCGACCCTTCTGAGTTTGAGGCTGAACACTTTCCTGTAGGGGATGGAACCCTGCCAAGATGACCCTGCTGCCTTCTCCCCAGGGTGCATGGGAAAACTGGGTGATGGTGGACTGAACACCTGGGTGTCCTCCCTTCTCCGAGTCAGTGCCTTGGGGCCCTGCTCAGCCGCCTGGTCGTCAGCTCTCCATTTGCCCTCTCTGTTTCGAGGTTCTCGGTGGGAGAGGCAGGGTTGAGACGGGGACCGTTAGAGCCCTGTTCATGGCAAGGACAGGGAGACATTGGCCTCTTTCCCAGGTGTCTTCTTTTCCCTCTTTCAGCGCCAGTCAGAAGCTGACCCCCTTTTCTTCCTTCCTGGGACTTTCTCCAGGGTTTTCTCCGGGGTATGTTTGGTTGCCTCAGGTACTGAGCTTAGGGTGCTGGGTTGTTCTCATGCCACTTCGAACCCTCCCTGGAGAAAGGGATCGCAACCCCAGGGAGCTGTGCCAGCGTAACCTTGGGGGCTCTGCTCACCAATTCTCCTGTGCTTTCAGCACGGAATAACAAAGGAGCTGTGACTCTGGCCTTTACACTTCGGACCACCTGGTTGTCTCTTTTGGCTCTAACCAGGAAGAAGAGGAAAGATTAGGGATGAATGGCTTGCCATGGGGCTGGTGTACTGTCTTTCTGTCTAGAGAACAAATGGGCTGGGATTCAGGTGGCTGGTGTCTCCCGCCCGAAGCCCACTCGCATGTGACCACCGGCTTCCATTCTGTGGCGGGACTGCCCATTGCCTTTCTTCCTCTTACAAAGGACAGCCCCTTGAGAGTTGGATTTTCCCCTGGTTGCAGAGCAGAACTACATCTGCTCGCCTTGGGGAGACAGAAGCCACTTAGGATGGCAGGGAGCTGGACTGCTGGGTGCCTCTCTTGCCTGGTGCTGTGAATGGGCTAATGATACGAGTGGTTGGGCCAGGGGTAGGCCATGTTGCTCTGGAGACATGGTGGGGTGGGCTGGGATGAGGTTTGGCCTTCCACTCCAAGGCTTTGTATTTGGTGACAGAGAGGGGTAGCTGGGAGACAACAGGTCCTTGGAGGCCAGGTGACAAGCTGATGTAATGTTGACTTTGGCCACTCAAAGGCACTGGATTAAGGGAGATTCCAGGACCAATAAGGGGTGGCAGGAGAAAATGAAGTCCCCTAAGACCTACATGTGTGGCTCTGGAACTTGTGACTGAAGTCAGGGGCAGGTGCTGGGCCAGAGATCACCCCCAGCCCCCTCGTAGGGACCTTTCCTTTCTAAATAGGTGGGGTTGATTTTCTGCTTAGCCCCCCACTGGGTTAATCACAAGCTGTTTACTCAGAACTGAGAGTAAGGATATGGAGGCCTGACCTCCCCACCCCTGGTGGTGAGAGCAGGGCTGTTCCTCAGATGTACAGTAAGATGGGAAAACCATACTCCCCCGACTCCCTCTCTTAAAGCAACAAGGCATAAAGTTTTACCTTTGTAAAGTGATTTAAGAGCCTTGGGTCCTTGAAAAATGTTAAAGGAGTTAGGGAAACTTACACTGTGTTTATTTCACTTGTATCAGATTTATATATTGTTTCTAAAGGGAAAGGTGTCATTTTGCAGGAAAGGGCTAAATTACAGCTTTTGTGAGAGGGAAGGCTCAGCGCTAGTTTTCGAAGTGTGGTTTTTAATTGGAAGACACTTGCTGCGGCACACAGGCTGCAAGGGTTTTTCTGTCTGCCTCTGTACTCCCAACATCCTAGGGCTCCTTCCGAGGAAGATTTTCCCCCATAGACAAGAGTCCAGCCTGGACACCAGCAACAGTCACTTTCCAAGCTCTGAGAAGGGTCTCTGTTGATGTCGGGGACTCTGATGTTACAAGTTGAGACCTGGGCGGTAAAGCGAAGCCATTTGGTCTTATCAGAGGCCGTATCAGATCTGGCTGTCCTTGAGGGAAGGGAAACCTAACTCCCCTCCTCCTGGCACAGCCTGGCCATTTTCAACTTTTTATCCCTTTACTTTCCCTTCTACCTCCTCCCCTCACCCCCAATTTATAGACAAGGTGGTTTGGGTTTTGTTTTTTTTTATTCTCTTTTTTTCTTTTCTTCTTTTATTGCAGGAACATTGCTTTTAAGGTGTGGGTAATTTCTGACTTGGCGAACTCTCAGCTTCCTTTGTGGCAATACCCTGGCTAAGGAGGGAATGTCAGAAGATGTCGGGAAGAAATACGGCCCTTCTGGCCAGGTCTTCTGCTTGATCTACCAATCCCCCTCGGAAGTCAGAGGCTTTGAATTTGGAAAGTGAGGTGTAAACGGATTTCTGGGGAAGGGCTAGGAGACAGCACTTTGGCTGTGGGTTCCCTCCAGGGAAACTGAGCCACACTGAGAGTTAGGCCAGTGGCAGTGGCATGCGTAAATGTCTGTGGGGGGCAAGTATTCCTTTCCTGTGACTTCACCGTGTTTGAGACAAGTACTAGAAAAGTCCCTAAGAAGGCGCGGATGCACCAATGGAGTCTAGGAACCCGTGTGTTTGGTGTCCTATGCCCCTGTGTCTCAGACTCTGCACTGTGGGATAGTCCAGGCTGCTGTGATTTTAGGAAAAGGAAGTGGTTTGCCCCCCTGCAATTCACATCCTTAGAGCTGTAGCTGAATCAGTCAGGTCTCATGCCCAGATAAAAAGGAGGGCCTGCTCCCTCGTCTGGGCTCACATCCATCCGGCAGGTGTGGGCCCCCACTCTCCTCCACCCAAGGCTGTCCTCAGTGTTCATTTTAACATCAATCCCCCTATATATAAATTTAGTGGGGTGGAGGTCACAGAGTGGTATTGATCCCCTGCTCCTTCAAAGGAAGGTTCTGAAAGGTAACTTTCTACCCTCCTCTGATGTTGGTGCTTCTATCTTTGGGGTTGGTCACAGTCCTGTTGGCAATGTGAAGAGTAACCAAAGTCATAGCCAATTTCTGTTTCTGAATGTCCAGCTGCCCATTATCCTCTACTGTGCTGGCTCCCCAGCAGAGAGCTTGATATCCTTTCAGGGCTCTTGGCCCCAGTGTGACTGGTACTGTAGAAGTTAGGGCCAACAGTCTACACGAATAAGACTTGGGTCTCAGGTTGCTCCTTCCTGCTGCTCCATCCTTTAGAAGCATAACAGTTAAAAAAGAAAGACTTGCACTGTCAAATCCTAACCTCATGTAGGGAGATCTAATAGATGTGGTGGGGGGGAGTGCATAATCTAAGAGCATTTTTTGGCCATTCCTTTCTGCTTCGGAAGCCCCGCCTTCAGAACACACTGGATTAGCCATTTCTGACTGCTTCCGCAGTTGAGCTTGAGTGATGAATACTTTCTAGCCGGTTCATTCATTCACTGTTTCCTTTCAGTACTTAAGACGCACCCCATCACATGAGTTTCTGGAATGGTCCGTTTCCATCAGAAGTGTCACTCACCCGGAGTTTTCATTAAGGCCTTGATACTAGCCCTGAGGATGTAGGGATGCCAGCCAAGAAGGAGACTGAAGAGCCACAAAGAGAGGATTCTTTTCTGGACTTGTGAAGGGTGATTCATGCTCCGAGATAAAATGTGCTTCCTGGGCTCCATGGCTTCAGTGCCTGCATGGGCGGTGGAGGGCCGGGCCCCGGGGGCAGCAAGAAGCCCACCTTAGGGACAATAATCGATGTGCTTTGGAGTGGTGGCGGGGACCTATTTTTAGCCTACTGCCAAACCCTACCTTCTTTTTTATAGCCATCCTTGGCCACATCCCATTCCAATTTGTAGGTTCCCCCTCCCTCTCATTCCCAATCCCAAAAGCCTTTTGAAAGCCGGGAGCAAGGCAGCCAGGGTACTGGTCTTACTTTTAGCTCCTTCTAAAACAAATAAGGACGAGAAGTATGGTCAGCACTGGGTAACACAAGGAGAAGCTCCAGTTTTTGTTTTTTTTTTTAAGATTTTAAAAGCTCCAGATTTTTGTTTTGTAACTGTGTTTTTGCCTGCTATAAACAAGGGGATGACTTTCTTACACGGACCTTAGGAGACTTAAAGCTTCCATAGAACCTGCAGTTTCTAGCACGTGGTGATTGCTGGTTAAATCATCAGGTGTGGTACCTGGATGTGACCAGATATTCAGATTTTTAAGTCATTGGGCAATGACGCCGTTTGTGCAGGAGCCGACAGTTGGCAAAGACTTCCAGAATCAGGAAATCTTGGATCCCTCCCTTACTGACCTGTGTGACCTTGGGCAACCGATTTCAGCCCTCGGAGCCTTAATTTCACAAATGGAGCTTCGGCTGGTTTCAGTGATCATAACAATGATAGTAGTGACAGCCACCATTTATTAAAGACTTACTGTATGCCAGGCATTGGACTAATCACTTGACATATGTTCTCTTTCTCTCACAGCAATGTTGAGGTAGCTACTATTAATTATCCCCATCTCGTAGCTAGAAAAACTGAGGCCCTGAAAGATAAAATGAAGGCACATGGCACATGACTAGCAAGTGTCCAAACTGGGATTTGAACTGGGATCTGTCTGATTCTTTTATGTTCTATAACCTTGGATCAGGGGATGAAATAAGTGTTGAGGAGAAGTTAAACGTGGTGATAGTGTTAGTAAGATAGAAGAGCTGATGTGGACTGTTAAAAGGTGTGGAGCTAGTTAAAAGGAGATGGAAGTACAGATTCTTATTTGAAAAACAACATCCCAGTGAATGTTCGGGAAGGAGAGAGAGGTTGGTACCCTGCACTGAGGAAGGAGACCAGATGGCCTGGGAGTTACTATAAGGGGAACCAGACTCTCTGCTTGGCATAGGAATATGTCTCATAAACCCCATTTCATTTTTATGCCAAAATTTGTCTCTCGCTGAGCAGACTCAGGGCAGCATTTTTCTTTCTGTCACCCTACTGCCACGAGTCATAATGGCTTATCTTTGCCGATCCTTAACTCCAGACCTCATCCTCTAACCCAGTTTCTGGGCCTTCCCCTGCTCACCATTAAGAGTCCAGCTGTGGAGACCTGATTCTGACTCTGGGGTCCCAGATACACTCTGGAAAGGTAGAAAGCATCAGACTGTCCTGTTCTTCTGAGAAAGTCTTTGTGGCCACCGAGTACTCCCTTCAAAATGACCGGCTGGTTCACTGAGGTGATTCTCATCATTTTCGTCCTTATTTGTTCCAGGCAAGTTAATGTTAAGGCTCTTCTACCACTTTGAGGTGTTTGTGGAAGAGGAATGGAGGTGAAGGTGGTGGCCTGGGGAGGTAAGCGGACCCCACTCAGAGTTAGTGTGATGGTGTGTAATGGAGCCTCATTCTGGAGGGCAGGGGGATTTGGGTTCTCTTGGCTCAGGGACTCTGGCCACATGACATGGGTGTTTTGGCCTTTCATTTCCTTATATGTAAAATGAGAATGCTGAAAAAGAGATTCTGGAATATTCTGGAATATTCTCCAGCAATAGTGCTGGCTGATCCAACAGAGTCTGGACAATTTGGTCCTTTCTCAGGGAATAATTCAGCTGAGGTCTAGAATTGGAGGAAGTTAGAGCTGGGAGAACAGAGGTGGGGTTGAAGGAGAAAGAAGCCAAATTAAGGGACAAAATCAGAGAAGGAGCAAGTCCCTTCTTGTGAAGGGGACCTGGGTTAGGTCATTCCTCCTTCGACTGCTGAAGTGGGGCAGCTGGGAGGCCGCATGTTTACCCTGCATTCACCAGCTCATAAATGGTGAGGGGCATGCCTGTCTCTTGTCTTGAAACCTCAACTTCACACCCCCCCCATCTCAGACTGTCCCCAACTGAAGGCAGCAGGGGAGTTGTGTATTGGTGTATGTTTCACATTCTGCACTTGGATTCGGCAGACTCTACGGCGTGGTTCAACCCAGGATACCCTCCCCCTACCCCACCACGAGGCTCCAGGACCTGGGTGCTTCGACTGATGCTTTCTGGGTGACTCGGTGTTAGTAACAACATGTCTCTCTGGCTTCCCTCACTTCCCCTGGAAGCTCAGCCTAGGAGCTCATGGAGTCACAGCTCTTCTGTTCCTAGATTTGGGTCTTCTCAATTTCCCTTTGAACAAAGCCATTTGTCCAAGGACCCTTGGATTCTGCTGTCCATTGGTACATGGTCGATTTTCATTTCATCATATTCAGGGTTGAGGAGCTAGTGAATTCCCACTGAACCCACCAAACCAATCTTTTCTGTCCACACCTGCCTTCCTTTTTCTCTTAGTTCCTTACTGCCCTTAATTCCATTATTCCCAGGGGTGGTTACCGTACCACTGTGAATGTGAGAGATGCTCTTTGTTGGTACAGGGATAAAACATTTCATTTAAATAGCTAGCTTTCTAATGAGTTAATGAGTATAAAGAAACAAGACTCATTGGGTTGTACTCAGAAAGTGACTTCATTTTGTCTTCCACTGTCCCTTTATGCTTATTCAGTGGGATTCGCTCTTTCCCTGCCCTGGGATGAAAACTCAGTCAGGCCCTATAACGGTTTGGGTCATTCTTAGGCAGTAGAAGGTCCTATGGTCACTTTGAGTCACAAAATATAGCCTCAATTCAATACTTAATCTGTCTAGTCCTTTGTGACTGGGCTGGGAGGGACAGGAAACGGCTCTCTCGGTCAACACCAGCGTCTGGTGGCTTCCGGCTTCCGGCTTCCTGGGCCTAGCAGGTATTTGATGCTGAATCTTTCTTGTGGCCGTGTTCATGGCTTCTTCAGAGACACCTCCCCGCCAGCTGCTGGGATATTCACTTCCGATTGTCTTGAAAAGAGCAAATTATCCTCTATTCTAGATCATTGTTCTTTCATCAGCCCCTAAAACCCAGTGATTTACCTCCAGTCTCTTCCAGCTAAGGTCCTGCAATCTGTCTGGGTGGCCCTCTTGGACGAGACCTGCTTGGGTCTCAACCCAGCCTTCTCTTGCACATGGCCCCATTAGCCAGAGGACACGGTCATGCATCCTTTGGTGCAGTGAACCTGGGAATACGGGAGGACGACCCCCCCAACTCCCCACCAGCTCAGCCGTCCACCTTAGCTCCTCTGACAGCCAATGGCCAGCATGTGTCTCTCACCTGGGGACCTAGGGTGCCTCAGGTGGTGGTCAGACGCCAGTCCATTGTCCTCCCAGTTGCAGGGTCAGACATCAAGTTTCCCGAGCTGTCCTGTTGAAGCCCCTCTCGTGGGTCTGGGAGTGTCAGACCTGTTATCCTCAGTGCCCTAATTAGGACTTTTGATTTAACCTCTAGCTATCTGTGTATCAAAACAATAACTCTTACAAGAAGTTCATGACGTCACAGATACGATCACTCAGGATAAGGCTGCAGTACCTATTTAAAAATTTAACTTAAATAAAAAGGTTAACAATGGCTAACAGTTAATTGAATGCTCACGATGCCAGGCACTGTCTGCAGTCCCAGAAACATGCTCTTCCACTTAACCCCCATGGGGGAAATGCTTTTGTTTTTTTCCATTCTACAAAGAGAGCAAAGAGAGTTCAAGCAGCTTGTCCAAGGTCACGCCATTGGCATCAGAACCTGGATTCAGATGGGAAGGATCTGAGCCCTGAGTGTGCTCCTTTAGCCCACTGCACGCTGTCTCTGCCTACAAGGGCGGTGGGCAGCCATAAGTCATGAGGTAGAAAGCAAACGGTTGGCAAATGCTACCTCAGGGACCTAAGTATAGGTTCTTCACTCTGGCTTTCAAGCTCTCCACACATTGCCTTTCTGGCAGCTCCTTCGGTGCCCTTTGCAGGAGCCTCAGCCCCTTGCCTGCCACCCCTGCCAGGCACATGCCCTGCCCTACCCAGAGAGTCCTCCTCTGCTTTTCTGCCTCCCCAAATCAAAGTCCTTTAAGTCAGACCCATCTTTGCTGCAAAGTTGTATGTAACCAAAAGCACTTCAGCTGGGATCTTTTACTTCTCCTGGAATTTCATTACTATATTGACAATGATTATGGGCTTTTCTGCAAAGAGCTGTGAAGGGTGGTTAGCAAACCCAGATTCTGATTCTGTGCAGTTAACTGCCTGTTGCTAACTTATGCAAGACCTGAGACCTCGCCGAACTTTGCTTTCAACATTTTTTTTCCTCCAGATTTTATTTAAATTTCAGTTAGTGAACGCAGTGTATAATAGTTACAGGTATAGAATTTAGTGATTCATCACTCATGTAGGACTCCCAGTGCTCATAGGAGTGCCCTCCTTAATCCTCATCACCACCCTCATCCTCCCCTCCAGTAATGGTCTCAACATTTGTGAAGTGTGAGTGTGGATAAGCTGCCTTCAGTCTTCAGTATGCCGTGATTTATGTTTACCTTCTTGTCCCCTCGAACCTCTAAGCTCTTGAGAGGTCGAACTGTGTGTCTTGACTGTCTTCTACCTCCCATGACTCTGCACAAGGTTTTATGCACAAAATGGACTATTAGTCGGCTGACTGGTGGGAAATGCTGCTCTAGGTCTGCCCTAAGCTTGACCAACTTCTATAATTCACCTTCTTCTGGGTGATTGCCAACAAGGACTTGGCAGTTTTCTTTTCTGCATAAGGTTTAGGTCCAACCTGCTGCCTTTTCTCTTTGAGAGACCTAATGTAATGCCTTAAGGCCCACATGCCTTGATGGGCAGCGTCAAAATCCAAAACATTCTAAAACCAAAAAACTTTCTTTAACTCACGCAGTGGCCATACCTGTTGTAGCCGTGTCTGCTGTGCGGGGTGTGACTATTTGCAGGTCTGACTGCAGAAACGTTAGTGTGTTGAAGTGCTCGGCCTAGACCCTGCTGGGATTACGTAATCCACGGGTTGTGTTCTACATCACCTCCTAAAAAAAAAAAAGAAATCTAAAAAATTCCGAATTCCGAACTTGGGAAAGTGATGGAAGTTCTGGGAGGTGTTTGTCCACAGAGGTTCAGGACGTGTCTAACATCTCTAACAATGTGTCTCACTTTGCCCTTGCCAGCTCGACCTTGACCTAATCCCAGCCCTGATTGAAACACAACAGCTCATGCCTTAGTTTACCAATTCGATTTTTTAAAAAAGATTTTATTTATTTATTTGTCAGAGAGAGAGAGCATGCACAAGCAGGCAGAGTGGCAGGCAGAGGCAGAGAGATAAGCAGGCTCCCCACCGAGCAAGGAGCCCAATGCAGGACTCGATCCCAGGACCCTAGGATCATGACCTGAGCCGAAGGCAGCGGCTTAACCGACTGAGCCACTCAGGCATCCCACCAATTTGATTTTTTAAAAATATTGCATTACGAGGGACGCCTGGGTCCTTCGGCTCAGGTCATGATCCCAGAGTCCTGGGATCGAGTCCCACATCGGGCTCCTTGCTCAGCAGGGAGCCTGCTTCTCCCTCTGCCTCTGCCTGCCACTCTATCTGCCTGTGCTCACTCTCGCTCTCTCTGACAAATAAATAAAATCTTTAAAAAAAAATTAAAAAAAAATATTGCATTACGAGATCATATGTCTTGATTTGTTTTGGGGGCCTTCTTAAAGTTTGTGCCTCTCTTGCCTTACCCACTTAACCTAATCCTAGCCCTGCATGACTTCTGAACCTTAGTCTTTCCTCTTCCCACATCCCTATTTCTGGGATGAACTGGTGTGTCCTGAGAGTGGGAGCCGCCTGCTGGGTATTTGCAGCTCAGTTGGTTCTGTGGGGTCCTGTTGGCTCCTTGGATGAATCAGGTCTGCAGAGACACTTGTAAATTGGTTCCTGGAGACACTTCCTACATCTGGATGTTTGCTTGGAGCCCAAGTGAGCATGGTTCCTCTACTTCCTCCTAGGATATGATGTGACCTGATGTTTAAAGAAATAAATTAATTTTAAAAATATATATGTGCCCACAGATACTCCTGTGAAATAGAAAATTGTACAATGTTGGAATCTAAAGTGTTCCGTTGTGTGTTTTTTTTTTTTTAAATAATCTCTATACCTGATGTGGGGCTTGAACTCATGACCCTGAGAGCAGGGGACATGTGCTCTACCAACGGAGCCATCCAGGCACCCCTCTATTGTGTTTTATTTATCTTTTTGGTGAAGAAACTGAGAGGTGGTGATAGTGTTGCAAATGTCTGTAGAAGAGCCAGGCTCAGACATCTTGTTTCTGGAACTTCCATGGGCACTCCAAGCTGAAAGTCTACTCCCTTCTTCTCTTCCCAGACCCTGGTGTCCTCAGATGGTGGGCAAGACTCATGAATCAGTTAGCTAGTCCCTCTTGATTGAAAGACACATTTTTTTTTTTCAGTCCTTAGTCCCTATTTGGCAGTGATGGG